TGCATATTTGGCCACACGGCATCGGCCCTGTGGCAGGGCAGCACATCATGGTGGGAGCGTGTGGCGGAGCAAGCGGCTTGCATCATGGCAGCTGGGAACAAAAGAGAAATGGAAGACAGAGCCAGAGTCCAATGTGCCCTTCAAAGGCAGCCCCACGACCTATCTTCCTTCCACGAAGCCGCCCACCCTTAAAGGCCTGCCGTCTCCCCATTGCACTACCGGGTGCACCACCCTCCACACTTGCACCTTGGGAGACATCTCACGTTCCAACCCTCACCTCGGTGCTGAGACAAAATATGGCAAGTTATCCAGAGTAAAGTCGTGGATGGGTGGTTAGTTCCCGCCTTCTTCAACATTTGGAGTAGAAGCTACACATGGTGTACGGAATGAGATTCCTGTATTTACGGTGTCTCTAATGACGTGGCACTCACAGGAAGTGTGTGATCATTTGTCCTCACATCACAAATCTAGACAAGGGCATAGCTTACATTTTAGAAAAAAATCAAGCCTGTGTTTTGATTCCAACTAGGTGACATCTAAATAAAGGTAAAACTATAGAGACAGCAAAAAAAAAAGGTGGTTTCCAGGATTTAGCAAACAGAAGGGTGAATGGATGAAGCATAGAGGATTTCTAGAGGCGCAAAGCCACTCTATAGGACACAGTGATAGGACGTGTGTCACTGTGCCTTTTTCAAAGCTGTCAAATGACCCACACCGACAGAGCCCTAGTGTAAGCTAGGAACTATGGGTGAGGACGAGCCTTATGGGTTCCACACTGTGACAACTGTGCCACTTTGGTGCAGGATGTTGATGGTGGGAGGGAGCCAGGAATGCTGCTCGGGGGGAGAATGCTTGTCTAGTGTACACGAGGCCCTGGGTCTGGCCCTCAGCACATTCACACATACGTAAAAATCAAGGATAGTGGAAAAGGCCATACACAAAAGATAGACACATTATGACAAGGCTTTAAACTCCAGGCCAGCCGGCCAAATAGCTCAGCAGACTAAAGCACCTGCAAGCAGACGCAGGGGCCGGGGGTTCAATCCCCCAGGCCTGCCGTGCTGGTCCCACCCCTGGGACACGCTGAGACGGCAATTGACACTGGGCGTGGTGGTGCATGCCTGTAATCCCAGCTCTTGGGAGGCTGTAAATAGGAGAATCACTATGAGTCCGATCTAGTAGTGAGACCCTGAACACCCTGTAGATCCTTCCCTAAAATACGAAAAAATAAAAAATAAACTCCAGGCCAACGTGAACAGGTGATTTTCCTGTATTTTGACTTATGAATCAAGGACAAACATGAATTAGAGGGTCAGAAATGTAGGATACAAGAGAAGAAGCTTTAGGGCTTGGTCTATCTACATGAGATGACAGCTTGTAGTGAATTCAGTAGAGAGAACGTGAAAACAGAGAAACATTCTCTGAAACCCAGGGCGAGAGCTGCAGCAGGGCCGAGGTCTCCTGCTGCTTGGGAAGTGGGTGATAGTCTTGGAAACACAGAGTAAAACAAGACTGAGTATTTTTAGAATGAGTTGTTATGAAAAGCCTAACTTGAGGAAGTACGTGCTAAACATAAGCAAGTCTGTGCAATCACAGGTGCTCCCTGAGGAAAGAACTCTGGGTCTCATGAAACTGTCACTGGGAAGCTGCTAGGGATAATAAGGAAGTGGCTGCTGGCCACGTGTTGGGTAGGCCCCAAAAGGGGTATTTAAGCGCTCCCAGCAGGAGAGGGCACCAGACTCCCTCTGCTCTCCTGAGTCTTCTCACCTCACCTCTACTTCATCCTCTGTACTGATACCATGGGTTGCTGTGGCTGTGGAGGTTGTGGCTGTGGCAGCTGTGGAGGTTGTGGCTGTGGCAGCTGTGGAAGCTGTGGTGGCTGTGGCAGCTGTGGTGGCTGTGGCAGCTGTGGTGGTTGTGGTAGCTGTGGTGGCTGCGGCAGTTGTGGCAGCTGCTGTGGGTGCTGCTGCAAACCTGTGGTCATTTGCTGCCACTCTTGTGGCTGTGGTTCCTGTGGCTGTGGTTCCTGTGGCTGTGGTTGTGGCAAGGGCTGTTGCCAGCAGAAGTGCTGCTGTTGCCAGCAGAAGTGCTGCTGCAAGAAGCAGTGCTGTTGCTAGGGGGCCACCAGCTCTGCTTCTAGGCTCAGCAGTGCTTGACATTTGATAAGACTTTTCTCCCTCCTTCCTGTTAGCTTCTCTCTGCTCTATCTGCCCAGGTGCCTTGGAGCCACTCTTTCCATCTCTTGTATGCTGCAGCTTCAGGATATTGCTTTCCCTTCACAGCAGCACCCTGACTCCTGCAGCTTCTCCCTGTACATCCAGGACTTAGCATCCAAGAGGCACACAATCTGTCGTCTTTGTAATCTTGTCTCCATGTAGAAAAATCATAGAAACCAGCATATATTTTCAGCCATAGGTGGGAGGTTATAGCCATTCATGTCAAAAAATGTATTTATTTTATAAGCTTAACAGTAAATCAAGATAGCTAATATTTCGTTTTCTTGAAAAAAAATCACTCATAATGAACTTTTTGTTATTTCATATTGTATGTTTACTAACCGTTTCCTTATTTCCAAGACTGTTTAAAGACAAAAAGCAACTCTTTTCAAATAAATAAATGAATAAATAAATAAACTCGTTATTGGAATGTGTCTGTGTTCTGTAAGACGTGTGTGGCTGAGGAACAGGAGAGAATGAGGGACATTACAGACTGGGCAAGGTTTCAGCTGGTGGTTGTTTGTGCCTATAGTGCCCCAGGATAGATTTTATAAGATAGAAATTAGGATGGAATCCCTGACTTGTGGCCATCAGTGTCATAGAGGGAAATTCCTGCCCTCCCTTCAGCCCTCCTCGTGAGGTGTGTCCGTAACAGCCACCGTGTTGAGGAGCCAGCCCTGCACCCCGCTCCCCCCTCATTTCTCTCGTTCATTCTCTCAGCAGCAGCACGTCCTGTACCAGACTGCACACTCAGCCGACAGCAGGGATGTGAAGAGAAACACGCCTTTGCCCTCCGGGTAGCACAGAAGAGAGAAGCCAACCAGCTCTATCTTTCGAATGTCAGGATCTCTTTGTCTGGTGACCCTTCTCCACGCCCACGCCAACTAAACAGGATCTTGTGTCCATTCAGGCAGCTGCACTGACACAAGAGACCCTCAATCCATTTGCTAAGGAGCTGATCCCACTAGCACGGGGCGTTTCCCTCCACCTTGCCGTCACTGTGGACACAACAGAGCCCTCTCTGCTCCCTGACAAATCTCCCTCCCTCGCCCTTCTTCCTCCTTCCCAACATGCTGTGCAGCCTCCCTCTGCTGCCTCAGCCCTCTTTCCTCCTTCCCGTCTTCTCTGTAGGTTCCTGCTCAACCTGGAGGCCCCTGGTCTCAGGCTTTAGTTCTCCATCCTCTTATCAGCTCTGCATTCTTATGTGACCTTCTCTTTTCTATTTTTCTTTTCCACAGCATTTCATTCTAACATACCGTACAATCTATGAACTTAATATGCTTACTGCGGGCAATCCCACGACCACACCTCATCCCTGTCCAGAACATAAAGTCTTCAAAGGAGAGATGTGTAGCTGTGCATTTGTGTGTCCTGGACACTTAGAACCCACTAAATAAGTTTTTGGCTGGTGATTTAACTCAGTGATAGAGCACTTACCCAGGCTGTGCAAAGCCCTGTGTTTAATCCCTGGCACTCCAGAGAGAAGAGAGAGAGAGAGAGAGAGAGAGAGAGAGAGAGAGAGAGAGAGAGAGAGACAGAGACAGAGACAGAGACAGAGACAGAGACAGACGGAGACAAAAGAAAAAGAAAGAAAGAACTTCTTAATGAGTGAATTGTTTTAACACTTTGTACTCATGGAAAACGCCACACATGCACAGAAATGAAGATCAGCGCAATGCTCAGCCAAGGACCGTCGCCCGGGTCCACACTCGCCAATTCCTGGCCAATGCCACGTCATCCACGGCCACATGCACATGCCCTGCACCCCTAGGTCAGGTGCAATCCAATCTGGACGGCATGTCGGCGCATCTGTCAACATGTGCCAGTTTATGTTCCTGTGAGCGAATGGATTCTATTTCTCTCCTACTTAGACTGGCTATGAGGAACAAGCCGGCAGCAGTAAACCTCTCAGGGTCGCACTTAAAGTTATCTCCTGGAAAGGTGTGGAGGAAATCAGGACACCCTCAGCCTGTAAGAAAAGGTGTCCCATCCTCCAGAAGAACCCTGCAATTTACAAGAGCACCTTGTCCTTCTCGCAATAGGAGCCGCGCCTTGCCCGCCCACTGGGGTGTAGCTCCAAACTCACAGGCAGAGCTCCCCAAAGGTGAGAGGCTGAGGGAGGAAAACCCAAAGACAGAGCCCCGGACACCCGGAGAGCTGTCAGGCCGCTTGACTTCTGCTAGAGGCCTTCAATTCAAACAGTGTTTATCTTTAGGTAAAGTTTTATTTAATTAGTTCGTTATTTTACTTCCACCAATGAATAAACAAAAAGAAAACATTTTAAACATTTCTACTTTTGCCAAGAAATGTGTAATGATTTAAAAAAAAAAAAAAAAAAAGGTCCAAGGCTGAGTACCGCGCAGCGGTCGGCGGCAGTAGGCGGCTTCCCCGTGGAAGGGCTTGGGGTGGACTTCCAGCAGCAGGCAATGCTGATCACAAACCCTGACTCAGGAGCCAGGAGGGCCCGACCTTTCCTCCTTGGATTTCTTCCTAGGCACAATCGGGGCTTACAGAAAAATAAAAAGACTTAGCAGAAAAGGACTTAACTTATAAAATGACCAATGACGGAGGCTGCTGCATCCAGTTCATTTTGCTTTATTAATCGTGGTGGGGGAGGGGTCGGCATGTCACTTTAAGCGAGCCTTTGAGCTAGCTCGGACACTACTGCCGCACACCTCCGCAGCCCCGGCCCCCGGAGACTGCAGGAGCGTATGCAAAGTAGGGGCGTGGCCTTCGGGCCGGCGGGAACGCCCCCGCCGCCGGCCCCGCCCCGCCCTAGAACCTGCTTGCCGCCGGCGCCGCGGGTGCTGGGTTGTGGGCCAGCGAGCAGCACCCCTCTTGTAGGTAAGGTCTTGGCCCCTGTCCCTCGGCTCGGAGCCTGGTGAGGCTGGGCTTGTCGGACCCCCTGGGCGGCGGAGCAGGTCCCGCCCAGCGTCTCAGTTTGGCCGCCTTCTGGTTCTGCCAGCGGAGGTGCGGGGTGCTGGGGCCGGCCCAGCCGGGTTTGGCTAGAACTCCCTCGTGTGGCCACCTGGAAAAGCAGGTGAAAGGAAACGGCGATTGCAGCCATGTGCTAGCAGCTCCCAGGGATACAAGTGCTTGCAAGCTTTAGGCGAGAAGAATTTCAGCCCACAAGTCCAAACTTGGGTCCAGATATGGTACAAAGGTTAGTGGGGCAAAGGAAAGTGTATTTGGAGTTACGAGAACAGATTAATTTTTAAACGTCTTTTTGATGATCTGTTAAATTATCTGTTGAAAACTACTTGAATTGAAATTTAAAAATACAATTCCATATTTTATTTTATTTATTTTATTTTGTTTTGTTTTATTTTATTTTGTTTTTGGCACCGGGGATTGAACTGTGGATGTTGCACTTGCTTGCATATTTTTATTTTATTATTTGTTTATGTGTTTGGTACAGGGTCTCACTAAGCAGCTGGGACTCATAGTGATCCTCCTGTTTTCAGCCTTCCCAGAGCTGGGATTACAGGCATGCACCACCACACCTGGTCTCAGTGGCCAGCTCAGCATGCCCAGGGGCGGGACTGTCGCAGCATGTGTTGCTGGGTCTCAAACCTGGTCCCTGTTCTTGCCTAAGCAAGCACTTAGTCCGCTGAGCCATCTTGCTGGCCCTGCTTGCATATTTTAAATAGACTAAAATATAATTAATTTTCCAAATACGTTTTTTCTTAGTTTTCCTTAGTTGCCATACTAACTGAAATGGACCAAAAAAAATAGCTTTCTTTTCATTTTTGCTAAAAGAACAATTTGTGTGATGAAGGATGCAATTCAGGAATATAAAAGGACAAAATTGCAGTCCTCAGTTACAATCGAGCTTCATAATTTTAATCAGCTTATTTTCTATTCTAGAAGTGGGCAACACTTCATCCCATGGAATAAGTATTTCAGTGTACTAAGCTGAAGTGGTTGGTTCCACAGACAGAAAAAAGACGAAGAAAGCACAAAATCAAAGAACTGATCTCTTCACTTTCAGTAAAAGGCAGGGACAGAGACAGAAGAATAGGAAAATAACCGATTAGTTAATCAGCTCAGTTGCTTCAGGTTACTTTTGCAAGAAGGTACTGGAAATTGAATCCAGGGATTTTCACTGAGCAAGATCCCTATTTTTTTTAATTGATGTATGTTTGCAATATATAACAATTACATTCACTTTGGAATTGGCGCGTATATGTCATGTCTTCATCATTTTTATCCCTTCTCGGCCCCCTGTTCTGTCTTCCCGTCTCTTCCCAATCCCCCGCCTCCCATCTCCGAAATCTCTTATCTCCTCATTTCTTCACCTTAAAAATTTTAGGACAAAGGTAAAGTTGTGATCATTGTAAACATACAAGAATAAGTGCATGTTAAAGGTTTCCATTAACTCATTGATAAGAAGTCTGGTAAAACCAGATGGCAAAGAATGGATGTATTTATAGAGCAGAAATACAGACTAATGAGTAATAAAATACCGATCCACAATACTGAAACTTTTTCCTTGGAGAAAAGGCAAGAAAATTGCTCCTTCACTTGAAATAACCTATCTACAGTTAAAACATAAAGAATAATTTCATGTTGTAATTAGTTATCACAATTACAGATGTAAGACAGTGTGGACAATCCATAGCTTTTCTCTGAAGCATGAACTTTTCCTGCTCCCAATCTATACCTTTGACCAGATACCTACACTGCAATTCCATGGCTAGGTCTAAGAAGTCGTGACTCATTCATCAGCAGATACTTTCCATAATTAAAAAGCAATAGTACTGTGTGTGATTACACAGAACACACAGTGCGGATTTTCAAGACAATTTGCTTTTGGTAAGAAGCGAAAGTATTCTGACCTATTGGGTGAGGGTGTGGACCTAGCTCGAGCCTCTTAAAGTTGTGTGGGCTGCTTCAGTTCAGCAAAGATTTCTTTGGGGGAGTAGGGACATAAAACATTATCAGTGAGTGAGAGGCCTCTGCAATTTTCTGAGAATCTGGTGATTTAGAGAAACTATACTGCATTAGTTTAATAGTAACATTCAGAGGAAAGTAGGTTTTTTTTCTTTCTTTGGTTGGTCTTTTTTTTTTTTTTTTTATTGTATACCTCTCTGACCATTTTTGTTTCAGAAAGATAGGAATCAGAGTGTTTGGTTTTGTCCAGGGGATTCCAGGAAAGGGTGGCTGGCTAAGGGCGTGGTCTCCGGGACATAAAGAAATGGGACAGGGATGGAGTCATTGCCCCGGCAGTGTTTCTAAAGAAAAACTCTGAGGATAGGGCACTGTAGCAGGGGTTTGCGATTGTAGGCAGCCCGGAGGCACGAGAGCTGCATGTGAAGTCAAGAAGACAGTCCTGATTCCACAGAGAGATGAACTCAGGCCACAGCAAGAACAGGTAATTCTGACTCTATCTGACTCAAAGAATGTTCTCTATGGCCTGTTTTGTGGCCCTGTCCTAGCTTTTTGATTTATGGGCAACATTTCCATTCTAAGCTTTCTCAAACAGACTGAGGTTCAAGGATCCTGTCTCTTCTCTGATTGTGTAGAGGCCTTTTCCTGATGTGGAGCTTGGAATAACTTTGCTGCAGGAGGGGAAAAGTCAGATCTATACACAGAAAAGTGCCTTGGAGGAGGGGGCAGAGTAGGCATTTCCTTAAATTGGGGTGCAGTTTCCATACAATATAGAGTATAAGCTGGCGAGATAGCTCAGCGGACAGGGACCCAGTTTCCGTAACTGACACTACACACTGAGCCAGCCACTGAAACCCGGCATGGTGGCCCATGCTTATAATCCCAGCGCTGGGGAGGCTGAAAACAGGAGGATCACTGCCAGTCCAAGCTGTGTAGTGAGACCCTGTACCAAACACATAATATAGAGTACAGGTATGAGGTTGGGATATTTAGAATTACATGCGCCCAGGTAACTATAGCCTATATCAAGACAGGATATTTGACTAACAATCCACCCAATTCCCTCTTGTCAGAGTCAGTCTCCCTCATCCCTGTCCACCACCCAAAAAAGTGACATAATTCTGGCTTTTTGCTCTGTTCTGAGACAGAATCTCACTTCGTAGTTCAGGCTGGCCTTGAAATCACGGCCCACCTCCTGCCTCAGCTTCCCAAACTCTGGGGCTGCAGGCACCCTCTACCACACCCAGCTCAGTCTGATTTCTGTCAGCTTCAGGTGCTGTAGTTTTGCCTGGGACATGTATGAATGAGTCTTACTATAGGCCTTTTTTGTTTGTCAGAAGCATGGTACTAGACATTCATTTATTTTGTCCCACGTACCAAATCGCCTTTGTTGAGATACGGTTTTCATATAATGAAATGGATGTGGTAAGTGTGCAGTAATGAGCTTGGACAGACTTTTATAGCCTTCAGCACTATCAAGCTGAGGAACATGTTTACCACTCCAGAAAACTGTTGCGTTCTTTTGTAGTCAGTCCCTTCTCTGTGTCCTATCAGGCAACCACTGATCCACTTTCTTCGCTGTTGTTGTTGTTGTTGTTGTTGTTGTTGTTGTTGTTTGTTGTTGTTGTTGTTGTTGAGACAGAGTCTCAGCGGTTGAACTCACTACATAACCTAGGCTGGCTTCAAGCTCACATTGATCCTCCGGCACCAGCCTCCTGCATGCTGCAATCATAGACATGGGCCACTGCCTTTACTTCTACTTTCTATCACTAGTGATTAGTTTGCTCACTTTAGGATTGTATACAGAATAAAGGAATCCTGGGGCCGGAGAGATGGCTCAGTAGAATAAGTGCTTCCCTGGCAAGCAGAAGGGCCTGAGTTCAATCCCCAGTTCCACTAAAAAAAAAAGAAAAAAAAAGGAATCCTACGTTTTTGTGTCTGGGAACCCTGGAACCCCACGATGTTTTTGTTATTCGCTGTAGTGTTCGCAGTAGTCTACTAATGGCTATTGCTTACTACTGCTAGTTGTTTTAATAGGCCATCTCATATGTTCATTTCCCATGTAATCGACATTTAAGCTGCTTCTCACTTTTTCACTAGTATGAATATAGGAAATTTCTTGGTTTGCTTGCCAAATGAGTTTGCAGTTGGTAGAACTTTACATTTCTCTAAGCACTGGATACAAATTCTGTGACTCAAAATCTTTACCTTGGTACATTAGTCTTTTTGTACTTACCCATATTAGTTGATGTACATTTTCTTTTTTTTTTAATTCTAAAGAGCTTTCATAAATAAAAAGCTCCATTATTTCCAAATGTCCACCAGGAAGAAAATGAATAATCAGTTCTACCAGTATTCATCGTAAAACTAAACAAAAAATGGAAGAAAGATGAAGACTGATGACTTTTTTTTTTCATACATAAATACTGCTTCCTCAAGGAAAGACTCAATATCACTTAGTGATCTGAGCTGGAGGGAAGAGTAACTGGTCCACACAGTTTCTTTTACATGGTTCTGTACAATGAAATGCCAACCGCACTACTTACGAATGGCTTGCTAAGACATTGAAAAAGTGAAAGACTTCATCCTTGCCATAGACCGCCCCTTAAATGGAGCACTCTAGGCACAATGACGGGGTGGCACTTTTCTCCAGTTTCTGCCTGCTCTGCCAGCTCTTCCTGGTTAGAGCGAAGCTTCTTGTGGCTCTGTCTTTTCTTCCTGTTGTCCTGGTTTTGTATCTTAGAACCTCCTCTGTTCACAGAGCAGTTCATCACAAACATTGCTCTAAACTGAGTGTTGTAAGATTCATGCCTTTGGCCATCAAGGCATAAAGTGGTCCTACAGGCAGGGCAATTCAGGACAGCATCACTATTGGGAACTGGCTGTTGCTGACGTGGCCCTCGGTCATCCAAAACCATGATGACCTCTTCTCTGTGCATCAACCCAGGCCTGGCCTCTATTATCTTTTTCAGGATTATATAGCAATTCATCATTTTTTGGGATCCTCTGCCATCTCTTCTTTTTCTTCTTGTTTACCTGTGCTCCTTTGTCTTCATCCTCAAAGCAGAATCAGAATAAGCATCGTCATCATCCTTTGCTGGAGCTATGCCAACTTTTTCATTTCCTGAAGAAGACCCTGTTCCAAGAGAAGACAGCTTGTCCCCCCTGGTTTCTATGGAGAAATTTAACTCAGCTTCCATTTCTATTTCAAATTCATCTTCGCTAGAGGACTCACTTTCTCCATTAAGGCACTCTCTGATGAGTTTTCATTTCTGGTCAGGGTTCCATGTAAAAGTACAGCCACTTTATCTTCAGAGCTAGCATACATTTAAATCAGAAAGAACACTGATATTCATAGTGCCTGCCTGACAAGCACAAGGTTCTGAGTTCAATTCCTGCCCAAAACTGATCCCCGTCAGTAGGCTCTTCAATTGCTTAGGGGTCGTAGTCATCCTGGAGCCTACACAGATTCCCAAGCTTAGCGTTTCTGTTTACATTGCATTACCGCCCCAGCGGTACCCAGCTCCGCTTCCGCCGTCACTTCCCGTTGTACATTTTCTTACATTTTACTTTGTGATTTCTGGTGAGTATGTTAGCAGGTAGCTTGATCTAAAAGCAGCTCGCTAACTAAAGGATATGTGGTGATGTGTTGCTTGCCTCTCTCTCTGGAGTTAGATTCCAGATTCTTCTTGTCTTAAAGAATTGAACAAAATGGGGGTGGGGAGGGAGTGACAAAGTCTACTAAGGAAAATAAAAGTGAAAAGTAGGGGAGAAATTGACTCTGCAGTGCAAGCTTGGGTCCAGTAAAGAGAAAAAGAGGGAGAGCAAGGATAAAAGTACACACTGCACCTCAGAAACGCAGCACGGGCTGTGGGGGAAATCTTTTAAAAAAGAGAAAAATCTCGAGGCTGTAAACAAGAGGATCACTACGAGTCCGTCTATGCAGTGAGACTCTGTACAAAAGGGCTGGCCAAATAGCTCAGTGGATTAAAGTGCCTGTTTAGGCAGATTTAGGGGCCAGGAGTTCCATCCCCGGGCCTGCTGTGCTGGTCCCGGCCCTGGGGAATACTGAGATTGCAATTGAGACTGGGCGGGGTGGCAAGCACCTGTAAGCCCAGCACTTGGGAGGCTGTAATCAAGAGGATCACTATGAGTATGATCTACATGGTGAGACCCTGTACACCCTATAGAACTTGTCCTAAATACAAAAAAAAAAAAGAGAGAGAGAAAGAGAAAAAAATCTCTTTTCCATTACCATAGAATTAAGATGACAAATGAAGTTATCGTGCCACTATAACCTCTAGTTCATAAAAATACTTTCTTTCCTTTGGAGTAATGCCAAGCAGGGAGAGGCACCAGAATGAGGCCGAGGGGAGGGGACGAGAGGAACCTGGTGGCAGTGCAGGGACTTCATTCACACCTTAACCAGGTGATTGGAGCCCACTTGTTGAACACACTGAATAAGACATTAGTTTCCTTCCTCCAAATTATCTCGGGCATTAACTTAGTTAAGACCACCAAAACTATGGAAATTTTATAACAATGTAAAGTTTGATCTCTGCTACAAAGGAATAAGAATGCGTTCTTCTGTTCACACTGCAATCCACATACCAAAGCACCATAAAATAAAGTCCTGTTTGTGTTTGTTTCCCGTACAATGACAAGGGAAATCCTCTTGAGCTTTGTGTTTCAAGTTTAAGTGGCAAGTTACTGCCATGTTGGGAGAAAAGTGTAGTCCTAGTCAGCCACTGGTCGCAGCAGTTCCCAACGGCAGCATAACTCTCCAGCCAGCTTTCCAAGAACAGTGAGCTATCCTGATAATGTGAACATTCAGCCAAGGACAGGTCAGGGCGTGCCGTCTTCTACTTCTTCCCTCGGCCCAGCTGCAGTACTGCAGAGGGGCCAGCAACAACGACTAGAGAACAGACAGTCTGTGCAGTGGTACCGTCCATTCCCAGCCAGTGGGGAAAGAGGCCAAGGCAGATCTTTACCCAGCTTACTTTGTTTTTCTTTTAAGGAAAAAATAAAACAAATTTCATAACAAAATAATGGAACAATAACCTAGTTAATACATGGCATATTGTTATCTTCAGAGTAGTTATTCAGAGTATAAGATTTGGGCATTAAAAATTCTCCAAATGATATTAGCACAAACCTTTCTCTTGAATGAACTAAGATAAACCGGTAGAATAACTCACTTGTATTTTTCTCCTTTCCTTTCCTTCTTTCCCCTTCCTGCACCTTAGTTCTTCTCTCTTTTCAAACAATTTCTTACCATTGCACAATCTCTGTTGTACATTTTTGTCCTTAGTTACCTGTTCAGTTTCTTATACCAAGAAGACAGTAGAAGAGACCTAAACTAGCAAAACCAATTCTTGACAACAAAGGTTCAGGCAGGGGGGCATCCCAATCCCTGCTTGAAATTACACTAAAAGGCTACTGTGATAAAATCCACATGGTGGGCTGGCCAGACAGCTCAGCAGACTAAAACTCCTGCTTAGGCAGGCACAGGGGCCTGAGGCCTGCTGTGCTGGCCCTGCCCCCAGGGCGCACTGAGATGGCGATTGAGACTGGGCTTGGTGGCATGCACCTATAATCCCAACACTTATGAGGCTGAAAAACAGGAAGGATCACTACAAGTCTGATCTGTGTAGTGAGACCCTGTAGACCCTGTACTAAATACATTATTAAAAAATAAAAATAAAATCAACATGGTACTGGCAA